GGCAGAATTTTATTTATAGACGGTTGCTCCGTAAGCAGTGAACGGCAACCCGCTTTGCAGGAAGTTGCTTTTACAGTTGCAAAATCATGGAGATGCTTACGTTTGATGGGGTTTTTTAAGCAGCCGGTGTTTTTAAGGAGCAAAAACATTTGCTCAGAAGTTAAATTCTACTCTAATCAGTTCCCCAAAGGGTCTTTAGGACCGTACGCTAAGAAACGGGACTCTGGGAGTAGGCACATTGAATTCCATGGGATTGAACCGCTAAAAAATTATGTAGGCGTGTGCTGTGGTTACCGTATGTATAGTAGACATATAATCTGGGCCAGAATTAAATCCTATTGGATATAAAGGAATGCCAGAGTTGACATGGACTGTGCTTTTAATTTTCAGAAGCCATAATACTCTTTTTGCTGCCGCTAATCCTTGTTTGGATCCTGTCCCATGCCTCCTGGATAGTGAGGCATTGACACGTCTATTTAAATGAATTTTTTTCCGATGCAAAATACGGGAAGAGACGGGAAAAAAATAGTTCTTTATTCACTTCCTTTCCCCTCTGGATTCCGGTCTCAGTATAAACCCCAGTATAAGATATTTTCCTAGGGGTTAAAGCTAACTGCTTGATTTAGGACTTGGCTAAGGTTTATGAATTAACTCCAGTTTAACGTCTGCAAAGGCAGCTTTTTTGAAGATGTCCCCACTTTAAAATGTTCATGGTCAGGCACTTGAGAAAGAACAAAAAGGAAGAACAGATTCTCAGTAATTCTATCTTAAATGTTGCAGGCTAAGAAAACAAAAGTACAGTGCTTATGCAATTTCTTTTTCTCTCTTTATACTGTTTTATTGTATTATAAAATATAAGTAATACATTAGTATATTATTTGGATACAGTGTTGACTGGAGATTATTAACACATGTTTGGATGATTTAAACCTTTAAGATAAAAAAAGTTTTATGTCGATATTAACTATGATTTCTAAAATGTTAATGTTGATAAGCATAAGGTTGTTTAAACTTTACATCTAAAGCTGAATGTGGCATTGATAAACAACTGCAAAATACATTGAATTATTTGTTAAATAATAAAGCTTACTATCTTAAACTTCATAATTAATACTGAGGTCTCCACTGTATTGTTATTTATTATTGTTGAGCATATTTTAAAACAAAATAACAAAAGTTTACAAAGCTATTTGATTTCTAACTTCCCCCTTGTTGTGCCTCTACCAACTGGCGGTGTTGATAAGCATTTAGGCCCTCTCAGAAACCATACTGTGTTTATATTTTCCATGCTGCATAATATATATATATGGGAACCATTCTTAAATTTGGTTAAACTTCTGTTGTGAATATATGCTGTTAGTTTTGCCATTGCTGCATATTCTTCAAGATTAAGTTCCCAAATAGCATCAGAACTGTATCTTTCTTTCTTCCCCATGCTGGCTGTGGAATTCTGGGAGTTGAAGTCCACATCTTAAAGTGGCCAAAGTTGAGAAACACTGGTCTAGAGACTATGTGGGCTTTTCTCTTCCTGAATAATTTATGTCCATGAAGTGGTTCCTGAGTTCCACCCATCCCTTCAGTCCATTCTCCATCTTTTTTTTTTCTTTGTCACCCATTTCTTTTTCAGCCTGTATCATGTATTTTAGATTTGAAAGTTATGAGCAGAAATAATTTTATTTAATATCAATTCCATGTAAGTTACCCTGGGAATCTTTTCAGGTGAATAAAAATGCTTTAAAGAGAGAAAGAAAGTTTATTAGCCAAAACTCGACCTTTTAAAAAAAAAAAGTACTGATTTTTACTGTCTTCTGTTTTGCAGTGATTTTGCTCTGAAATGTAGAGCACTTCTCAGCTCAGCTCTGCACTTTTTAAAAATAGTCCACCCACCTTGCACTTCTGAAATATAATACTTCATGTTAGATCATATTTCTAAAGTAGCATATCTGCAAGAATATAAGTTTTGAGCATAAGCAATTATGCTCAATAATAGGCAATGTG